TTCACAGTCAAGTCTGTCCTACAAAGGAAAGGTCACAATCTTCCAAGATTTCTGCTTACTTTGGAAATAATGTAGCAGCTGGAGGTGCCATCCAAAGCTAATATTACCATCCAATTAGGTAGCTTTACTGGGACAGTGAGCAAGCACTTCTATTCCTCTTGCTCATCACAGTAATATTGCCCCATCCTGGTCAAACTAAAGGAGCACAGCTTCCTTTGGAGGCAGGGGGTTATCTGAGACGTCCTCAGCAATGCACGTTATCACCACAGCACTTTCAGCTCCTCCTGGCACCACTCAAGACGGTAAACTGACCCCTCTGCACAGCAACACATGCCATAGTTTCTGCAGTTATACATCACTGAAACAAGACACCCAACTAATTTTGGTTGGAAGGGCAGATAACGACAGAGATGCCAGCACTCCTAGTTTTAATGCTGGTCCTAAGATTCCCTTTCGAGTCTTAGCCAAGTCAGTGAGCCTCTATGTGATGTTGGCATCAAACCAAAGTTTATTAAGTGCTTTTGAGATATGCTAGAAATGCCAAATATTAAAATTTACATTTGGAGCTATGAATAGCAGATTGGAACATTAGCCTACTGGCACAACTGAACTCAAGTTTTTCAAGAACAGAAGTAAAATACTAAGTAATATTCAATGATCTGGAAGAATGTCATTCGACAAGAGGAAGCAAAATTTAGTTTTGAAGTATTGCAATACCAACATTATACCCTAAACACAATTTTGTCACACCAGAAGCTGTTTCTAGGTCACTGTCCTGGTTTTGGCTGGGATAAGAGTTAATTTTCTTCCTAGTAGCTGGTATAGTGCTGTGTTTTGGATTTAGTATGAGAATAATATTGATAACACACTGGTGTTTTAGTTTCTACTGAGTGGTGCTTACACAGAGTCAAGGCCTTTTCTGCTTCTCACACCACCCCACCGGCGAGCAGGCTGGGGGTGCACAAGAAGTTGGGAAGGAACACAGCTGGGACAGCTAACCCCAACTGACCAAAGGGATATCACATACCGTATGATGTCGTGCTCAGCTTATAAAGCTGGGGGAAGAAGGAAGGGAGGGATGTTTGGAGTGATGGTGTCTATCTTCACAAGTAACCATCACGTGTGATGGAGCCCTGCTTTCCTGGGGATGACTGAACACCTGCCTGCCGATGGGAAGGAGTGAATGAATTCCTTGTTTTGCTTTGCTTGCATGCATGGCTTTTGCTATACCTACTAAACTGTCTGTATCTCAACCCACGAGTTTTCTCACTCTTACTTTTCCAATTCTCTCCCCCATCCCACCGGGGGAGGAGTGAGCGAGCGGCTGCATGGTGCTTAGTTGTTGGATGGGGTTAAACCACGACAGTCACACAATTCACTTACAGCCCAGTTACCAATTATTCATCTCAGAGTTTTAGAGTTGCTCACCTTTTGTACCAATCCATAGCTGGTCTTGCTCAAGTTTAAACGTCAATCTTACTTTCCCCCCTGACTTGTTGTACATGCCAGATAACGGCACGGTCGGCAGGCGCTCCTACAAAGAGGCAACATAGTAAGGTGAAGGACTTTAAGAGGAAAAGCTATATCCTCTTAACTTTTTAAGCATAACGATGATCCATCTTTCCAGTTTTCTACTACGATAGCAAGGAACAATTGAACCAGCAAAGCAAGGTCTCAAAACACAAAAAAGGTCTCTCTCTTCTGATCAGGACAATTTCTGAAGTACTTATTTACTTACCTGAACACCTTTAACAGAAGGCATCACATCATCAGGTTTTCCTTTATCCAATACTTTTCTGTGTTGCTACAATATAAAACCAGAAATTAGAATTTACAGAAATGCAACAGAGCTTTTCAATTTACTTCCAGCTGCGCCCTTGACCATATCCCGATAGCACTAAGAGACAGTTAAGGACTATTCACAGTCATTTATCACACAGGAAATGGTTAATTTTCAAAGTTAACCGAGCACTTTCTATGACAGCCTAAAGAAATTACATAAATGAATAAAACCCCAATATAATGCAAAGGGTAACATCCCTTCTAGAATATACAGAAATATACCTCTATAAAAATTTAAAGAGCCCCAAGTCCCACTTCAATATCGTACATGCTGAATCACATAGCTGGCATTTGGCAAGACAGTTTTAACAGTCAAGTGTTATATCCAGTGAACGGCAGAAAACCCTCCACATTTGACAGTGCAACATACCGCAACACAGCAACAAACCAGAACAGATTAGGGCAGTAGTAACTAAGAAAACCATGCTCACAGCTTGTAAGTTGCTGAGTACCTTTAAACAATGATGGAACTTACAGTGAACGTGAACTATGATAAATTATAGAAAAACAAAAGCATGTTTCATAAAGGTTGCAGTTCAATGATGCACTATTTAATTTCTAATCAAATTTATTTTGAGGAAGGTATGGGGCCGGTAATACCTTCAGCTGAAAATCCTTTATCAGCCCCAAAACACTGCAGCACCGCCACCAAACCAAGCCTCACTGCGCTCTACTTCACTCCCTATTCGGAGGCAGCACTTCAAGATGAGAGAGTATTTGACATCCATGTTCCCTTCAGTGCTGGGACAGCTGAAGGAACTGCTCTCTTGGTGTTCATTTTAAAGGCAGTTTTTGGAGATCAAATTCCTTTAGGCCAACAAAAATTGGTTTTCAGATACAATTAATTTAGACTGCATTTGAGTTAACAACCATGAAATACTTCTACTATTTACCATTTCTTGTCTAAAACGCTAGGCTGTATCTAGCACCAGCACAAGTGGTGTCTTGCAAAGCCTCAACCTCCACTAGGCTAAATGTTTTTCTGCTGCTAGAACTCCTCTGCACAGAGCCCTTCTTCTACCGCTTAGCTGTGAGAAAAGAGACCCCAGTCTGCTTTGAGGAGGAACAGGACCCAAAGGTGACTGCAGAGTATTACAAGAGAACCATGTAAACCCTACAGCTCCCGCATGCCAGGAATTATTGAGACATCAATAACCTTTTGCCTGCAAAGTGGCTCCTTTTTGTTTTCTTCAGCTTTGACCTCCTGTTGAGCAGCTTCTTTGGGTGTATTTACTGCTAAAACATCATTGATAGTAGAGCCAACAACCATTATTTTCGCTCCATTTGTTACTTTGATTTCCCGCAACGTTTTCTCCTCTGGCAGAAGTCCCTTGAACATAACTTTCTGCATAGCAGGTGGAAGGCCTAAGAGGCAAGAATAAGGATTATGAGACCGCCCGACAGCAGCGAGAGGAGGCGCGGGCTGAGGCGGGAGAGGCGGCGGCAGCCCCGACAGACCTGTGAGCGAGTGGATCTTCTGCTTCAGCTCGGCCCCCGTGCTGTCCAGGCAAAACTTCACGTCGTACTTGTTCTTGTTCCAGATAACCTTTAGCTCCACCAGCTCCTTCCCGCTCTCCGCGTCGCCGCCGTTGCTGACAGACGCCTGCGGGGGATCCCGGCGCTCCTCGCCCTCAGGAGACCTCCCCGCCGCCGGCGAGCCGCCCTCTCCGCCGCAGCCCAGCGGCAGCTCCGGCGCCTCCGCCTCCATGCCCGGCTCCTCGGCACCTGGAGGCGAGCGGACAGGAAGAGCCCGGCCAGAGGGAA